GTAAGAGCATGCAGTAGTGTTTTAGCACAGTAAGTGTATATGTACAAAAAAATCACAGCAAGTGTTGATTACCAACAAAATACTGTACAGAGGTAGAAAACTAAAATGGAAATATAAACAGAAATATATTTTTATCTTTATGTATAAAAAATATGGATCTCCCTCCCCTCCATCCCTCCCCCCCCTTATCTCTCTTCTCTCTCTCTCTTCTCTCTCTCTCTCTCTCTCTCTCCTCTCTCTCTCTCTCTCTCTCTCTCTCTCTCTCTCTCTCTCTCTCTCTCTCTCTCTCTCTCTCTCTCTTCTCTCTCTCTCTCTCTCTCTCTCTCTCTCTCTCTCTCTCTCTCTCTCTTCTCTCTCTCTCTTCTCTCCTCTCTCTCTCTCTCTCCCTCTCCCTCTCCCTCTCCCTGTCCCCCCTCCCTCTCCCTGTCCCCCCTCCCTCTCCCTGTCCCCTCTCTCTCTCCCTCTCTCTCTCTCTCTCTCTCTCTCTCTCTCTCTCTCTCTCTCTCTCTCTCTTCTCTCTCTCTCTCTCTCTCTCTCCTCTCTCCCCTGTCCCCCCTCCCTCCCTCTCTCTCTCTCTCTCTCTCTCTCTCTCTCTCCCCTCTCTCTCTCTCTCTCTCTCTCTCTCTCTCTCTCTCTCTCCTCTCTCTCCTTTCTCCCTCTCCTCCCCTCTCCCTTCCTCCCTCCCTCCCTTCCTCCCTCCCTCCCTCCCTCCCTCCCTCCCTCTTTCTCTCTCTCTCTCTCTTCTCCTCTCTCTCTCTCTCTCTCTCTCTCTCTCTCTCTCTCTCTCTCTCTCTCTCTCTCTCTCTCTCTCTCTCCCCCCCCCCTCTCCCTCTCTCTCTCTCTCCCCCCCTCTCCCTTTCTCTCCCCCCCCTCTCCCTCTCTCTCCCCCCTCTCTCTCTCTCTCCTCCCCCCTCTCCCCCCCCTCTCTCTCTCTCTTCTCTCTCTCTCTCTCTCTCTCTCTATCAGGATTTTGTTTTCCTCTGACTTTGGTGGGTTGTGGAGACACAATTCTGGTTTCTTCCTTTATTTGTTGAGATGGTAGGTAGGGTAGCATGGCGTGGGCTGTCTCATGCGGAGGTCTGGTCAGGGTTAAGACCCCGGTCAACTGGCCTGTAGCTTTCAAGAGCGGGTCTGGAGTCCCTAGTGTCGGGGACATGGGAAGGTAATCCATGTTCTTCAGATCGCTCGGCATACGCTATTAACCGTCGTCCTCGACAGGCTGGTGCTGGCGTTCTCTGAAATAAGTACACCAGAGGCAGAGACAGGGCGAGAGACAGGAGGACAGGGGGGTTGTGTGATAGCAAAGGCCATAAGATATAATCAAATTATATCAGATTACAATGAGTGTTAGTTTAGTTATTTGCATGAATTTTCAATTTTTTATTTATTTTTTTCATTAATTCACTGTCCAAAGATAAAAGAGGAGCATGCATAGGGAGACAATTGCAATAGTCCGCAAGGACTTGCTTGAGTTGCAATTGTCTACGAAAAATCTACGAGAGATAAGCATTGTGCAGAACTACAAGAAAGCAAAAGGTTTCGCAGTTCACAAGAACGTCTTGAACGACTAACTTCCTTGGGAAAAAATGAAAATGCAACAATGCAGAGTTCATCAGTATGCAGTGCAATAGTGCATACAGTATACGTCTGACCAATAGTAAGTGTTCTATCTCATTTCATTGAAATTGTCAATCACATGTCACCAACAGCAGTTCAAGGGAAAACGATAATGAAAACGGGTAATGCAGTCCTCATATCTCAGGAGCGACTCATTACATCTAATATGCTTTCTCAAGACAACATTTGCACAATAAAATGTAATGCAAGACAAGAATACACGATTGACGCAAGTGGTACTTTAATTAGTGCGTAAAATAAATGAAACAGTGACTGGTCTGTTGCAGAACAGACTAAGGCTTGCATGATGCAAGTGAGTATGGGTCAGCTTCCGTTATCTAACAGCCTAGAGACAACCCTCGTGGTTGTAAATGATATAAACTGAAAATAAATTCCCTGAGAAAAAGTGATGACGGACCCAACCTTAGAAGGAATATATCGATGGGCTCATACGCAGAACGCAAATTGGGCATTCCATCTTCTTGGGGAATACCAGCGATAATCCTCACGTATAGTCGTATAAGAAGGAGCAGTGTGGCGCTTAGATCACCTCTTGTGATAAGTGCAGCTTGGCACATACAGGACAACTTAACATTAATTACCTTAATGCTAAATACATGTCCATACTCAGCTGGGGGTCGTCACTAAGTAATAATGATGAGGTGAGGTTCGTGATTAAGATTGATTAATGAAGAAAATGTTTCAAAAATTAGGTTGGCAAAGCAACGATTATTGTATGAAGGGAAAGAAATGGAAAATTGTTAGGATAACTGAGGTAATTTCGCATTCAGTGATCACTCATGAAAGCAAAAATCATGAACAATATGAAATCGTAGCAGCTGTATAATGTAATTAATATCTAACATAGAGATAACTGAATAAGATATAAATACAAATAGCTTGAATGTAATTTAAGTCAGGTGAAGGCAGATGGCAGGGTAGGGATATTTTACCAGAGTAAGGTCAAGTGAGATCATTATCTAAATATTTGTAAAAAATAGCAATAACTAGTAAATTTAAAATCAAATGTGTAAAAAAAAAATATACAGTAATCGAAACATAAGTAATCATATTGCCGATAGATTAAATAATTTACCATACTTGACTAATTAAAGAAAATCATATCTATAGTAAACAAATAATTATGGCAAAATATACTTCAGAATGTATACAAATATACTATTATAATAACGTAAAGTCACACAATTTAATTCGATGAATTAATCTTTATTACGGCTCTCAGTTATCATCATCATCATCATCATCATTAAGGGGGTTGATGCGAAGTGGGCACATAGCCGCATCCACCCTTCACTACCACCTATGAGGATCCCTCATGGCTAGATGCCAGGCAGGGACTCGGCCCATCTCAAGTTCTTCACGACAGGTTTGGTCAATCTGCCCAAGCCACGACTTCCTAGGTCGTCCCACAGGCCTCCTCCATCCAGGGTTGTCTCGAACAGAGACGACCTGATGGGCAGGATCATCCTGAGGAAGGCAAGCCAGGTGGTCGTATATCCTGAATTGGCGATCACGGATTGTGCAGATAACAGGTCCTGTGCCAGTCTCATGGTGCAACCATTGGTTGGCCACATGGTCCCGCCAACAGTACCCCATGATCTGACGCAAGAATCTATTACAAAAGGTTTCAAGATGAGCCTTCAAGGCACAGGATAATGTCCAGGTTTCGCTACTGTATAGCAAAACTGGCATTATCAGGGCCTTGAAAACCCGTAGCTTGGTCCTTCTGCACAGGTACCGACATCTCCAAATACTCTTGTCGAGAGAGTTCATGACCCCTGCCAGGCGAATCCGTCTGCTGACTTCATGGTCTGACAGTCAAGGTCGGTAACCTTGATATTGCCCAGTGTTGCACCACAATGACTTTGAACAGTAGCTCTGCCAAGTATCCAGTCCATGCAAGTGTTGAAAAGAGTTGGCACAAGGACACAGCCTTACCTCACTCCTGAACTAACAGGAAAGAAGCTTGACAGGCCCCCACCACACTTTACAGCACTTTCAGTACCAGTATACAGGCTTGCTATTAGTCCAGTAATCCTTGTTGGAATTCCTCTCAGTCTCAGGATTTCCCAAAGTGACTCCCGACGCACCTTATCGAACTCCTTCATGAGGTCGATGTAGGCTGCAAGCAGCCCACACCTGAACTCACAGCGGCGCTCTACAGTGACTCGAAGCGCAAGGATACAGTCTATTGTGGACTTACCAGGAGTGGATCCGGATTGCTCCAGTCTCTGATACGTCTCAGAAGGATGTGGGCGAGAACCTTGCCTGGTATACTGAGCAGTGTGATACCTCGGTGATTGCTGCAGTCTCAACGGTCCCCCTTCCCCTTCCAGAGAGGTTATGACCACAACCCTCAACAGCTCAGAAGGAATGGTACCAGACCGCCAGATGGCAGCCAGGACAGCATGTAACCCCCGCGCCATAGGTTCACCTCCAGCCTTTAACAGTTCAGCTGGTATGTCGCAGATACCCGCTGCTTTACCACTCTTCAGCTTGGAGATCGCTCTCCTAACTTCAGTTAGGGAGCGAGGATCCTGACTGATGGGTGGGTCCAGCAACGGGATCTCGACACTAACCGCATCCAAGTTAACTATTGGTGGGTCAACCTGGTACAACTGCTTGGAGTTCAGCTTTATGAGGGCTTGATATGCAGGATGTAGGTCATTTACTAAGAAATGGCCTTCTACCTCCTCTGCAAGACTCCTAATAAACTGTTCTTTGTCCCTTCTTAACAGAGACCGAGTTCTGCGCACATGAGAACGGTGCAATTCCTGATCCCGTCAGACGAGCCACACGACATGCATCTGTGGCTTCCAGTGTCTCCTTCGAGATGAAATTCTGTACTGCTCTCGGGCGTGCACCAATTGTATCTTGAGCTGCATCAAGCATTTCACGCTTGAAGATATCCCACAGAAGAACAGGGTCCGTCAAACTGTCGAGCATTGTGAAGCGATCAGAGATTGCCTCAACAAAACCCTGGGCACACTCCCCCTCCCTCAACCTGTCCAAATGAGACACCCTAGGGTGATCATTTGACAGCTGGGGAGTTTTGAAGTGGACTCGGAGGGTAGCCACAACCAATCTATGGTCAGTACCACAGAACTCAGCACTCCTGTACACCCTGCAATTCTGGAGGATCCTCCAACGAGTGCTAACGAGTATGTGGTTTATCATTATCCGCATCGCTGTACCATGTCCAACAATGTGGGTCTGGGCACTGGTACCAGGAGCCAGAAATCTTTAATTACTGGGACCTAGCAAAGTCCCGGAAAAGGAGGCTATTCTCACTCCCGGCATCAGCTCTTGAACCATGGGGACCAACAAACATCTCATAGCCAGCACGATCACAGCCAGATACC